AAAAAAAAAAAAATGCAAATTTCCATAAGCCAAAAACCATAGCAGCGGCGGCGAGGTTACGGATGACGGGTGGCCGATGACAGTGCAAGGAGCAGCTGTGACGGCGAAAAGGCGGAGAGATCTGCGATATACATTTCGGTAAGTAGATCTCATTTTTTATACTTTCCGATCTGCAGTTTTTCCGAACTTCTCTTTTTTTTTTACGCTTCAAGATTTGGTTTACAGACATCAATCAATTTCTTCATAACTCCAAGAGACTCATTGGGAGCGAGGTGGCTAAATGATACTATGATTTTTTTTCCCAATTTTATATTGGGAGATCAACGGTATTCTTGTGAATTTTTCGGTGTTAGTGAGTGTTCTGAGGTTTTTTAAAGTTTAAATCTTGGATGCCCATGAGCGTTGGTGTGTAGAATTCCTGCCTTTTTTGTTTGAGCATTTATGATTTAGCTTAGTCGATTTCTTGTGAGTTTTACAGGGCTTTTGTGAAGATTCCCTTGTTTGATCATGTTGCAGCCAATACACTCTTTGCTGGAAAGTTTTTGAAATTTTCTTGCATGCATTCTGGTGGCGGCCCCCAACAGTGAGGAGGCGGCGACCATGGCCGGGGAACTACTCCACTGCATCTGCATCACCTTCTTCATCAGCCCAACAAGCCGGCCTGGACCCATCAACCTGCAGCCCCGATCCAATCGATCGGGTTGGGATCCTTAACTGGGCCGACATCTACAGTGGGGGATATTTTAGGGAAAAGTTGGAACTCCTCGCATCATCGAGTTTGAGCGCGTCGGGTATCGAGATTGTGAACAATAAGAACCCTAATCTGTTTGGATCTGGTTAGCTCAACAATTAGCCAAAGCAAAAGTAGCAACAATGCCCTCTAAAAAGCTTTAGTAATGCTGCAAGCCAGAACACGTTCCAAATGGCCAATCATTTCTATAAATTGGTAATTCATGTAATGATGGCAAAACATGGGGATCTAATATCTGTAATATTGGTAGAAATATGGGTAGGAATTATAACAAAAGTTCAAGTAATATTGTTGGAAAAG